CGCTCCTGTCTGCATGATGGCTGGGGCAGTGTGCTGTATGCTCCGTCGTGGTCTGCATGATGGCTGGGGCAGTGTGCTGTATGCTCCGTCGTGGTCTGCATGATGGCTGGGGCAGTGTGCTGTATGCTCCGTCGTGGTCTGCATGATGGCTGGGGCAGTGTGCTGTATCCTCCGTCGTGGTCTGCATGATGGCTGGGGCAGTGTGCTGTATGCTCCGTCGTGGTCTGCATGATGGCTGGGGCAGTGTGCTGTATGCTCCGTCGTGGTCTGCAAGATGGCTGGGGCAGTGTGCTGTATGCTCCGTCGTGGTCTGCAAGATGGCAAAGTGAAATTTGTTGCTAGTTGGCAATTGATACATGGCTTGGTTTGCTTGATGTATAGTGCCTCGCCCATGTCCAGTCTTCTGTTGTCGCTGTATCTGGCGATTATTTTGGTGCTGTTTGTGAGTATATCTCTGGTGATGGTCTGGTTATGTATAGAAACTATATATTCTTTAATAGGTCCTTGCTGTTTGTGCATTGTTAGGCGTCTTGATAGAGATGTTGCTGTCTTGCCTATGTATTGAACTCGTTGGCGCTGACAGTTCCCAAGTAGCCATGTAAGCATGTCAAACACCTAAACGTGCTTTTGAGGTGTTAACATAAGAATTAAAGACATTGCAGAGGACCTATTGGACCAAACGAGTCAGCTCCTATTGGTCCATACAAGGCAGCTCCTATTGGCCCATACGTGACAGCTCCTATTGGTCCATACGAGGCAGCTCCTATTGGCCCATACGAGACAGCTCCTATTGGTCCATACGAGGCAGCTCCTATTGGTCCATACAAGGCAGCTCGTATTTATATTCGCCCGAATAATTATTATATATCAATAACACCTCGACGTCAGTTTTGTGATGCAGTTACCAAAACAGTTGCAGGTTGGCTATCGATCTCCTGGAGCCAAGCATCTGTGACCTCATCACCTCGCTGAGGGAACAACAATACAAATAGATCAATATTGACCAGACCACACACTAGAAGTTGAAGGGACGACGACGTTTCGGTCCGTCCTGGACCATTCTCAAGTCGAAACGTCGTCGTCCCTTCAACTTCTAGTGTGTGGTCTGGTCAACATACTTCAGCCACGTTATTGTGACTCATCACCTACAAATAGATCAATACATCTGTGCTATGCAATTCCTGCGTATAGCAAAATCTGATTTGAAATTCATACACAAATTTACAATATATATATATACAAAATAGATTTACTAAAATGGAGCACTAACGAGTGACAATGTTAATGTGGAATAATTTTACATACAGTGATTGAGAACATTAAAGATTATTTGGGAATCGCTTGATTTAATTCAAGCAAAACTTGTGCTGTAGCTTACATAGAAGTTCTGTATTATGTGTTGAGCCACGCCCACAAGTGTTGCACCACGCCCACAAGTGTTGCACCACGCCCACAAGTGTTGAGCCACGCCCACAAGTGTTGCACCACGCCCACAAGTGTTGCACCACGCTCACAAGTGTTGCACCATGCCCACAAGTGTTGAGCCACGCCCACAAGAGTTAAACGACGCTCAAAAGTGTTGAAGCACGCCCACAAGTGTTGCACAACGCCCACAAGTGTTGCACCACGCCCTCAAGTGTTGTGCCACGCCCACAAGTGTTGTGCCACGCCCACAACTGTTGATCCACGCCCACAAGTGTTGCATCACGCCCACAAGTGTTGCACAACGCCCACAACTGTTGATCCACGCCCACAAGTGTTGCACCACGCCCACAAGTGTTGCACCACGCCCTCAAGTGTTGTGCCACGCCCACAAGTGTTGTGCCACGCCCACAACTGTTGATCCACGCCCACAAGTGTTGCATCACGCCCACAAGTGTTGCACAACGCCCACAAGTGTTGCACCACGCCCTCAAGTGTTGCACCACGCCCACAAGTGTTGAGCCACGCCCACGAGTGTTGCACCACGCCCACAAGTGTTGTACCACACCCACAAGTGTTGAGCCACGCCCACAAGTATTGCACCACGCCTACAAGTGTTGCACCACGCCCACAAGTCTTACACCACGCCCACAAGTGTTTAGCCACGCCCACAACTGTTGCACCACGCCCACAATTGTTACACCACGCCCACAAGTGTTGCACCACGCCCACAAGTGTTTCACCACGCCCACAAGTGTTGCACCACGCCCACAATTGTTACACCACGCCCACAAGTGTTGCTCCACGCCCACAAGTGTTGCACCACGCCCACAAGTGTTGCACCACGCCCACAAGTGTTGCACCACGTCCACAAGTGTTGAGCCACTTCCACAAGTGTTGAGCCATGCCCACAAGTGTTGAGCCACGCCCACAAGTGTTACACCACGCCCACAAGTGTTGAGCCACGCCCACAAGTGTTGAGCCACGCCCACAAGTGTTGCACCACGCCCACAAGTGTTGAGCCACGCCCACAAGTGTTGCACCACGCCCATAATTGTTGCACCACGCCCACAAGTGTTGCACCACGCCCACAAGTGTTGCACCACGCCCACAAGTGTTGAGCCACGCCCACAAGTGTTGCACCACGCCCACAAGTGTTGAACCACGCCCACAAGTGTTGAGCCACGCCCACAAGTGTTGAGCCATGCCCACAAGTGTTGCACCACGCCCACAAGTGTTGAGCCACGCCCACAAGTGTTGAGCCACGCCCACAAGTGTTGCACCACGCCCACAAGTGTTGAGCCACGCCCACAAGTGTTGCACCACGCCCACAAGTGTTGAGACACGCCCACAAGTGTTGAGCCACGCCCACAAGTGTTGCACCACGCCCACAAGTGTTGAGCCACGCCCACAAGTGTTGCACCACGCCCACAAGAGTTGAGCCACGCCCACAAGTGTTGAGCCACGCCCACAAGTGTTGCACCACGCCCACAAGCGTTGAGCCACGCCCACAAGTGTTGCACCACGCCCACAATTGTTACACCACGCCCACAAGTGTTGCACCACGCCCACAAGTGTTGCACCACGCCCACAAGTGTTGAGCCACGCCCACAAGTGTTGCACCACGCCCACAAGTGTTGAGCCACGCCCACAAGTGTTGAGCCACGCCCACAAGTGTTGAGCCACGCCCACAAGTGTTGCACCACGCCCACAAGTGTTGAGCCACACCCACAAGTGTTGAGCCACGCCCACAAGCGTTGCACCACGCCCACAAGTGTTGAGCCACGCCCACAAGTGTTGCACCACGCCCACAAGTGTTGAGCCACGCCCACAAGTGTTGCACCAAGCCCACAAGTGTTGCGCCACGCCCACAAGTGTTGCACCACGCCCATAAGTGTTGCACCACGCCCATAAGTGTTGCACCACGCCCACAAGTGTTGCACCACGCCCAAAACCCCCTTTGTTCCACGCTCTAAACTACCAGTGTTCCACGCACTAAACTACCAGTGTTCCACACTCTAAACTACCAGTGTTCCACGCCCTAAACTACCAGTGTTCCACGCGCTAAACTACCATTGTTCCACGCCCTAAACTACCAGTATTCCACGCCCTAAACTACCAGTGTTCCACGCCCTAAACTACCATTGTTCCACGCCCTAAACTACCAGTATTCCACGCCCTAAACTACCAGTGTTCCACGCCCTAAACTACCAGTGTTCCACGCTCTAAACTACCAGTGTTCCACGCTCTAAACTACCAGTGTTCCACGCCCTAAACTACCAGTGTTCCACGCCCTAAACTACCAGTATTCCACGCCCTAAACTACCAGTGTTCCACGCCCTAAACTACCAGTGTTCCACGCGCTAAACTACCAGTGTTCCACGCCCTAAACTACCATTGTTCCACGCTCTAAACTACCAGTGTTCCACGCCCTAAACTACCAGTGTTCCACACCCTAAACTACCAGTGTTCCACGCTCTAAACTACCAGTGTTCCACACCCTAAACTACCAGTGTTCCACGCCCTAAACTACCATTGTTCCACGCTCTAAACTACCAGTGTTCCACGCCCTAAACTACCAGTGTTCCACACCCTAAACTACCAGTGTTCCACGCCCTAAACTACCAGTGTTCCACGCCCTAAACTACCAGTGTTCCACGCTCTAAACTACCAGTGTTCCACGCTTTAAACTACCAGTGTTCCACGCCCTAAACTACCAGTGTTCCACGCTCTAAACTACCATTGTTCCACGCCCTAAACTACCAGTATTCCACGCCCTAAACTACCAGTGTTCCACGCTCTAAACTACCAGTGTTCCACGCCCTAAACTACCATTGTTCCACGCCCTAAACTACCATTGTTCCACGCCCTAAACTACCAGTGTTCCACGCCCTAAACTACCAGTGTTCCACGCCCTAAACTACCAGTGTTCCACGCCCTAAACTACCAGTGTTCCACGCGCTAAACTACCAGTGTTCCACGCCCTAAACTACCAGTGTTCCACGCGCTAAACTACCAGTGTTCCACGCTCTAAACTACCAGTGTTCCACGCTCTAAACTACCAGTGTTCCACGCTTTAAACTACCAGTGTTCCACGCCCTAAACTACCAGTGTTCCACGCCCTAAACTACCAGTGTTCCACGCCCTAAACTACCAGGGAACCACGTGGACAAGCAGATTACCACGCCCTGAACTACCAGTAATGAAACAGAGAACGCAACTCTCTTGTGATTGGCTGTTTCTTTCCTAGTATTGATCGCCATTGGTGCTTGTGCCAGTGGGCGTGGGGTCTCGGCTTTCTTGCGATTGGTCGAGTCATTTCTAGTATTGATCACCAATGGTGCTCGTGTCAGTGGGCGTGGTCTCGCTTCGGTGAAACGCTGCGGTAATTGGCTAATCCTCCCCGCCGTGAGGGTTCGGCTTGTAAATTGTGACCAAATCGTCTGGTGATTGGTGGATATTGGTGTGAGTGTAACGGGTGACTCCTAAACAAGTGTTGTGATTGGCGTATTTCCTTGCAGGTGCGATTCATTAAATCGCGATTGGTCAGCGTTCGGTAGCCGTGGATTTTGAATCACACTCGTCTGTGATTGGTAGATACGACTATGGGCAGGACGAATGGGCAGGCTTGATCTGTGGGCGTGGCTGCTGTTCCACGCTGACTGATTGGCTATCTACGGGTTGTGGGCGTGGGTGTAGCCCCACGCTGACTGACTGGCTATCTACGGGTTGTGGGCGTGGTGTATTTGGTGTAGTGGCGTCTCCGTGGGCGGTGTGGGCGCAGGTGGGCGTCAGGATGCCGGTGTGGGCCGCCTCCACTGAGTATCTTCACTTTGCTAACTCGGGTAATTAAAAATATTAATAGTGAGTTAATAAGGTAAATGACATAAAATTAAGCGATTGTGTGTGTCGAATTTGATTGATTATCATGCACGTGTCAGTTATAATAATAATTGGCTGAGAAGTGTCAGTCATTATGATGATTGATGGCCAAGCTACCTACCACGACCAGTTCTACCACACCTGACCAACCAGACTACCTACCACGACCAGTACTACCACCTCTGACCGTCCAGGCTACCTACCACGACCAGTACTACCACCTCTGACCGTCCAGGCTACCTACCACGACCAGTACTACCACACCTGACCGTCCTGGCTACCTACCACGACCAGTACTACCACCCCTGACCGTCCAGGCTACCTACCACGACCAGTTCTACCATACCTGACCGTCCAGGCTACCTACCACGACCAGCACGACCACCCCTCACCAACCAGACTACCTACCACGACCAGTACGACCACCCCCGACCAACCAGACTACCTACCACGACCAGTACGACCACACCCGACCAACCAGACTACCTACCACGACCACTACTACCACCCCCGACCGTCCAGACTACCTACCACAAGTAGAAACGTATACCGATTCATATTACCTCAAACATCAACATATCAGTGGTTCTTAAGATTGGTGGTATTAATAGGCAATAATATTCGAATGTGTCCAATGTTTTAGTTGAATTGCTTTTTATGTATTGTAAAATAGTCAACTCCCTATTTGAAACCTATTTTGAATGTATGATGAATAATTGATTGAGGTTCTTTTTATTATGATTGATGGTAATGGAGTTCCATGCTTGTTATAAATGCCTTGGTCGTGTGCTTATATTTTCTTCCCCACCAGTGTTGATTTTCTCCCCCACCAGTGTTGATTTTCTTCCCCACCAGTGTTGATTTTCTCCTCCACCAGTGTTGATTTTCTTCCCCACCAGTGTTGATTTTCTCCCCCACCAGTGTTGATTTTCTTCCCCACCAGTGTTGATTTTCTCCCCCACCAGTGTTGATTTTCTCCCCACCAGTGTTGATTTTCTCCCCACCAGTGTTGATTTTCTTCCCACCATTGTTGATTTTCTCCCCACCAGTGTTGATTTTCTCCCCACCAGTGTTGATTTTCTTCCCACCATTGTTGATTTTCTCCCCACCAGTGTTGATTTTCTTCCCACCATTGTTGATTTTCTCCCCACCAGTGTTGATTTTCTCCCCCACCAGTGTTGATTTTCTCCCCACCAGTGTTGATATTCTCCCCACCAGTGTTGATTTTCTCCCCACCAGTGTTGATTTTCTCCCCACCAGTGTTGATATTCTCCCCACCAGTGTTGATTTTCTCCCCACCAGTGTTGATATTCTCCCCACCAGTGTTGATATTCTCCCCACCATCGCTGATATTCTCACCAACACTTAAAATTTCCCACCAATACTGACAATTCCCCCACCAATACTGACAATTTCCCCGCCAATACTGACAATTCCCCCACCAATACTGACAATTTCCCCGCCAATACTGACAATTCCCCCACCAATACTGTCAATTTCCCCGCCAATACTGACAATTCCCCCCCACCATTTCAGTGGACCCGTATGAGCTCCTGGGCCCCCGCTCATCCCGCCTGGCCGCTCAGGGCTCAGGCCAGATCCAGCTGTGGCAGTTCCTGCTGGAGCTGCTCTCCGACCCCGCCAACGCCTCCGTCATCACCTGGGAAGGCACAGCAGGAGAGTTCAAGATCCTCGACCCTGACGAGGTGGCTCGCCGCTGGGGGGAGCGCAAGTCCAAACCCAACATGAACTACGACAAGCTCTCCCGCGCCCTCAGGTGGGTTCTGAGGGACTTATTATGTCCAGTACACGTCGTCGCAATGTTGCAGCAATGTTACCATCCATAGGCACCGCAACGTTGCTGCAATGTTACTGTGGCCACAACATTGTAACAACGTTAATCCCCCACAGTGGTCACAACGTTGTAGCAACGTTAACACCCCCCCCCCATAGTGGCCACAACGTTGCAGCAACGTTATTATGTTTAATAGCTTCACATTTAATTTTATTATAATTAACTTTGTGGCGAAGTTGGGTGGTTGTTGGGGAGAGAGTAGGTAAATATGTATGGAAGCTGAAAAAAACTATGTATAGAAGTTGAGAAAACCATGTATGGAAGTGGAGGAAACTATGTATGGAAGCAGAAGAAACAATGCATGGAAGTGGAGGAAACCATGTATGGAAGTGGAGGAAACTATGTATGGAAGCAGAAGAAACAATGCATGGAAGTGGAGGAAACCATGTATGGAAGTGGAGGAAACCATGTATGGAAGCAGAAGAAACCATGTATGGAAGTGGAGGAAACTATGTATGGAAGCAGAAGAAACCATGTATGGAAGTGGAGGAAACCATGTATGGAAGCAGAAGAAACCATGTATGGAAGTGGAGGAAACCATGTATGGAAGCAGAAGAAACCATGTATGGAAGTGGAGGAAACCATGTATGGAAGCAGAAGAAACCATGTATGGAAGTGGAGGAAACCATGTATGGAAGCAGAAGAAACCATGTATGGAAGTGGAGGAAACCATGTATGGAAGCAGAAGAAACCATGTATGGAAGTGGAGGAAACTATGTATGGAAGCAGAAGAAACCATGTATGGAAGTGGAGGAAACTATGTATGGAAGCAGAAGAAACCATGTATGGAAGTGGAGGAAACTATGTATGGAAGCAGAAGAAACCATGTATGGAAGTGGAGGAAACTATGTATGGAAGCAGAAGAAACCATGTATGGAAGTGGAGGAAACTATGTATGGAAGCAGAAGAAACCATGTATGGAAGTGGAGGAAACCATGTATGGAAGCAGAAGAAACCATGTATGGAAGTGGAGGAAACCATGTATGGAAGCAGAAGAAACCATGTATGGAAGTGGAGGAAACCATGTATGGAAGCAGAAGAAACCATGTATGGAAGTGGAGGAAACCATGTATGGAAGCAGAAGAAACCATGTATGGAAGTGGAGGAAACTATGTATGGAAGCAGAAGAAACCATGTATGGAAGTGGAGGAAACTATGTATGGAAGCAGAAGAAACCATGTATGGAAGTGGAGGAAACTATGTATGGAAGCAGAAGGAAGTACACTTAAAAGGTAAAGAAACTACGATTGAAAGCTGAAGAAACTAGGAATGGCAATAAACAACAATTTCAACGCCCTTTTGATTACTTGCAAATGGGAAGCAAGTCTAATAAACAAATCAATAAATATCGAGTACAATAAATATCACATATATACACGGGCAAGACTCCCGGCCACTGCTACAGACAAGCCCAACCGCTTGGGCTGGACCGTAGAGCTACGGTCTCGCTTCATGCAGGTCACCGTTCAATCCCCGACCCACCCAATAGTGGGTTATCTTGAGGTTATCTTGAGATGATTTCGGGGCTTTTTAGTGTCCCCGCAGCCCGGTCCTCGACCAGGCCTCCACCCCCAGGAAGCATCCCGTGACAGCTGACTAACACCCAGGTACCTATTTACTGCTAGGTAACAGGGACATAGGGTGAAAGAAACTCTGAAATTCTTTCTCGGCGGCGCCTGGGATCGAACCCAGGACCACAGGATCACAAGTCCAGAGTATTGTCCGCTCGGCCGACCGGGTGGGCACCATTCCTGTTTTCCCGTTCCATCCCAAATTGTTATTCTGATCCCTTCCCAGTGCTATATAGGCGTAATGGTTTAGCACTTTCTTGACATACAACACCGCTCCTGTGCCAGGTAAGTTACGGGCTCACCATAGCCCGTGCTACTTGGAACTTGTTCCGAGTAGCTTAATCTATAACAACAACAACAGCGCTTTCTGATAGTTCCTCCTTCCAATCTGTACCATTTAATAATTTAATTTGAGGCTACAGACAACTGAACACAAAACTCCTCCTCGATATTGCAGCAAAATACAAATCTCTCATAATTTTGTTAAATAAAGTAATAGTTATCATAATTATAATTATTAACGTGAACAATAGGGATAATGGAATATATTGAATAACGTTCTAAGGTAATACAGATGGTTCATTGTATACATTTGGTCACTATCGGAAAGTAGCAAAGCGAAGCGTATATGGGGTATGTTCCTCTCACACAGTCATCAGCGGCCGTGTGAAGAAATAGGAGTGAATAAATAGTAATAACTTACACACTACCAAAAAATAAATAGCAGCATTCATCTGCTATTCACTTTTGAACTAGTGTGGTGTTACTAGTTATAGCCAATGAACTAACTAGTACTCACCTAGTTGTGCTTGCGGGTGGATGAACTTTGGCTCTTTGGTCCCGCCTCTCAACTGTCAATCAACTGATGTACAGATTCTGGAGCCTATTGGGTTCTATAAAATGTACAGTTAATATTAAATGAACAAATCCACAAGGGCCGTGACGAGGATTCGAACCTGCGTCCGGGAGCATCCCAGACACTGCCTTAACGGCCCTTGTGGGTTTGATCATTTGATGCATCACGTTAGTGTGATCTCTGTGTGTACATTTAATATTGTTTATATATGATGGAGTCTGCCTAATGCATTCCATTAGAGAATGGAATGGTGTAATGTTAGCAATTCTGCCCGAAACGCTGCGCATACTAGTGGCTTTACAAGATTGTAAACACCAGGCTATGTATCCTCACAAACCCAATGTACCTTCTTGTATATAAATAAATACATAATTCCAACCACTGAACTAACAGGTGCGCGATATTTCAGGTACTACTACGACAAAAACATCATGACGAAGGTGCACGGAAAGCGGTACGCCTACAAATTCGACTTCCGCGGACTTGACCAAGTCCGGCAGCAGCAGACAGCGGAAGCCCAGCGCTACCCAGCGGACTTGAGCTTCCTCACGGGCTACTCCCAGCTGCTAGGAGGTTCCTCCCCACTAGGTGCTGGGCCCCTCACCTCACCCTCCCCTCACCCACCTCCTCCCCTCCTATCCCCACCGCCGTACTGGGCCGCAGTATCGTCAGCCGCCGCCCTTGCAACCACCTCGCCCTTAGCAACCTCGTCTCCGCTTGCAACATCCTCCCCTCTGGCCTCCTCGCCTCCCCTGGGGCTTCACGCCGCTCCCCAGCCCTCTCCCCTCAGTTCCCCTCCCCCTGAGGTCCCCGTCACCACTTCCTCCACCTCCAGGACCCTCCCCCACTACCCGTACTCGTGAGTGACCCACGGGGAGTGGGGGCAGCTTGGCCCCGTACTGGAGGCCGACTGGAACACGATGGTCAATATCATGTTTATGCATCTGACTAGGCGGCCAGAAGAGCAGCGCTAGGATGTGTTATAAGTCCTAGCTGCTGAGCTCCGCTAGGGTGTGTGTGTGTGTGTGTGTGTCTCCTAGCTAATTATCTCAGCAATTATGTATATCTCCTAGGTGATGATCTCAGCTCTGATGTACAAGTTTCCACATGCTGAGTTTTACTAGGATGTGTGAGTCATAGCTGCTGAGCTGTGCTGGGATGTGTGATTCCTAGCTGATGAGCTCAGCATAGATGCATAATTTTCCATTGGCTGAGTTCAGCAACGAGGTCAGTTTGGCTGGTTGGGATTCCAGTTATTCCAGTTCGTAATTTGTCCACGAAGTTGGTGTACCTCTTGAATCAGTCGTTACTCCAGAAGGTGATATAGCCATCCTGAAGGTGATATAGCCATCCTGAAGGTGATATAGCCATCCTGAAGGTGATATAGCCATCCTGAAGGTGATATAGCCATCCTGAAGGTGATATAGCCATCCTGAAGGTGATATAGCCATTCTGAAGGTGATATAGCCATCCTGAAGGTGATATAGCCATCCTGAAGGTGATATAGCCATCCTGAAGATGATATAGCCATTCTGAAGGTGTTATAGTCATCCTTGAGAGGGTATATAGCCATCCTGAAGATGGTCATAATCATTGCATAATTGGTCAAGAGCGAAGCAAAAATGGACAAAGACATACAAAAGGCAAACTGACTCGTCGAAGGCAAGGCTTCTGTTCCTGGAATCTCAATGAACGTATAGTGAAGCTTGAACAAAGCTGACATGGGTATACGCCTCCTCTCTTAGTGTGAACAAAGCTGACATGGGTATACGCCTCCTCTCTTAGTGTGAACAAAGCTGACATGGGTATATATACGTTCTCTCCTAGTGTGACCGAACATAACACACGTACTTACCAGACCATACGTACCGGTCTTTGTCACGATTGGTCTCAGTGTGACCAATCGTGACATAGGTACCCCCCCCCCCCTTGTCTCAGTGTGCCAAAACCTCCCGACGTGCACTTGATAAGGTTCAAAGTTCACAAAAGCAGCTTAAAAAGCATAAACATATCTACAACCTTTCTAGCTTAAAGGCTTCAAGACTTGTGTTGGTATTGAAATGCAAATAAGCTAATTTTTCTGTTAATTAAAGATGTTTGTTTCCATTTTTAAACACATACCTGAACATTGTCGTCATCTTGAGATTAAGAACGTTTCAGTTGCCGGCGATGAGTCACAAAAACGTGACTAAAGTATGTTGATCAGACCATACACTAGAAGGTGAAGGGACGACGACGTTTCAGTCCGTCCTGGACCATTCTCAAGTCGATTGTGAGAATGGTCCAGGACGGACTGAAACGTCGTCGTCCCTTCACCTTCTAGTGTGTGGTCTAATCATCAACGTTTCAGTTCTTATTTTGCGTATCGTGAACAACACAAAATAATGATAACTGCTAAATGCTCCTGTGTAATCATGTGTAATGCTCCTGTGTAATCATGTGTAATGCTCCTGTGTAATCGTGTGTAATGCTCCTGTCGTTATTATTTGTTAACAGATCTCTATGGGCAGGTTGAGGTATTCACTGAGGCACTGGTAGGTAGAGCGACGGCCTCGATCGCTTCTTTGCAGGGCTCACGTTCGATTCCCGAAGATCCCCCCCAGGGATTGGGAATCGTTTTCTTCACGCCATCCTCATGTTCCACCTTCTTTGCGTCATGGCCTCTTTCTTAATCTATCTTCGTATCCCTCACCTTATTTTATCATTATATCTCTGTTCTATTTTAACCTTATATCTCTATTCTATTTTATCATTATATTTCTATTCTGCCCTTATTTCGAAGCTTAAAGTCTATCCCATATCACTTCAAAATGCTATAGTCATACTGGCTTAGAGTAGTCAGACTTAAATGCTTAGAGGTATACTGTCAGGCGGTATACAGCTCTCCCACAGCGTTCCTTTGTCACAGATCAAAGCATATTCCCTCGATTCTCTCTCTTGGAGTATACCGAGTCTCCTCCGCTTCCATCAACCGTTATTCTCACGGCCGCCGCTCCACCATAACCGGCCTTTGTTTATCCGACATTTCTTGTATGCAGCATCCCCTGTAACCGGCATAGTGTTAAGCTGACCTTTTTCTTCCATTTAACTTACAATGCGTAAAAGTTTTTTTTGGGGGGAAAAGAAATTGTGTTATTTTCTTTGGTGGTTCCATTGGTATTAACACCTACATTGTGCTTCCACTGGTATTATCACCTACATTGGTGTAAACAGACATACACTCAGGGCCATTGGTACACACACACTCATGTCATTCACTCTGTGAGCCTCATGCAGCAGTTGTATCATATACACGTAAACAGTGAATGCGGTACGAGTCTTGTATTGGCTATTTTTTTTTTTGGTTTTGTTTTGTCCTTGGGGAAAACCTTTAGATCTCACTACAGCTGTTGTGAAATCTTTGTGTACATATGTCGTAATGTTCAATGGCGCGTCGTGTTGTATATCTAGCCACTAGTATTTGGGGCTTCTGTGCATTAGCTAGTTTGTAAATACCGAAGACCAGTTGCTGAGTAATGTATGGTCGAGATAGCAGGTAGTAGTACCCCAGACCAGCTGCTCTGTAACCCGTGTTTAAGGTGCCATAATATAACTCGTCAACAGAGAGCTAACCTCTGGTAATTCTTCTTTGAGAGGGGAAACACGTGTCGATCGAGTTTATAAATTAATTTATCCTAATGTATTCCGTGAAATTAGGCTAATGTGTTATGTGACAGTATCCTAGTGAATTCTGAGAGTTATTCTATTGTATTCTGGTTGATGATCCCTATACTTTAACTCCAACCCTCGACTCTAGTCAGGGAAAGTGTTGATTTTCAGTTATTTGGAATGTATCGCGAAATTAGCAGGTCTGTATCTCATGTCCTTCGCAACTATGGTGCATATAGCATCTAAGATGGACATGTACATAATGTGTACATAATAAGTACAAAAGATGGAGAATGGCATAAAAATAGTCTATATTTTATACTTTTGGAATTGAAAGTGAAAACTAGAAACAGAAACCTAATCCCTAACCTAAATATTCCAGATCTAATACAGTACATTTTTTTGTACTAAATATTTCTAACATTGGACATATTTTAGGCCTAGAAAACATTAAGTTAGGCCTAGGGTAGGTTAGAGTACGTTTCAATTATGTTCCTCTTTCAATACCAAAAGTTAAAAAATGCGGTCTGCTTTTGTTACCATAGTACATATTATGTAAATATTATGTACATATATGTACATGTGATCATTCTTCGCTATATACACTGTTACTGCTCAGGACTGATTGCTTATCCTAATGTATTCTGTGAAATTAGGCTAATATATTCTGTGACAGTATCCTAGTGTATTCTGAGATTTATTCTATTGTATTCTGGCTTAAGTTGAGCGGTCAAACAACTTCATCGGTATCGCATTCCGACGCCAGCAACTTTTTCCTCCAGAACGTAATCGTAAGCGTAATTACGAGATCGTAATTCGTTGCATGGAACCTGACTTAAGGTATCAATCAGTGATTTCGGGGACTTCAGATGTCACCCAGTGGCGTTAAGAACGTAACTTAAAGTTATGAAACTGCACCATTATTACCAACTTATTCAGTTTACTGTAACTACTGTTGAGTGTATATGCAAAACAAAGTACCGAGGAGTACAGAAGGAATTAAAAGGTACTTAGAGAAAAATAAAGGAATACAAAAAGAGAATGGGGAATAGAGGTAATTAGGTAGGATTTGAGGCCAAAATAGGGATGAAAACCCTTACACAATTTCACATCAAAGGACGTAGTTGTTGTACGTAGTTGGATGAAATGTAAATACACAAAAAAAAAAAACGAAAAATCCTTTTTGCAAGTTGGCGAAAGCAGGACAAAAATGATAGTTTGAGGTCCAAACTGCATTGCAAGTTTGCAATGATCTCAGATCTAACACTACCGTAAAGGAGAGGCTATTTTAGGTTAAGTTAGGTTAGGTTAGTTTTGGTTATGTCAGGTTAGGTTAGGTTAGGTTAGGTTAGGTTAGGTTAGGTTAGGTTAGGTTAGGTTAGGTTAGGTTAGGTTAGGTTAGGTTAGGTTAGGCTAAGTTAAGGTAGGTTGTGTAGTGTTTTCACAACGTTTATTTATTTGTGTGTGGATTGCCTAGCACATCCCCCCCCCCCCTGCTCCACCGCACACAGTTCTTAAATATTGTATATTAACATTCATCCCCTGGCTGAATTCACTCATCATTTTGTAGTTGTTGATAGATTGAATCTATTCAATTGAATAGACTGAATACTTTCCTTGATAGTTGTCGTTATGAATATGGCGCATCAGTATGAAGCAATGACTGGCAGTCGTGTGTGTGTGCGTGTGTGTGTGTGTGTGTGTGTGTGTGTGTGTGTGTGTGTGTGTGTGTGTGTGTGTGTGTGTGTGTGTGTGTGTGTGTGTGTGTGTGTGTGTGTGTGTGTGTGTGTGTGTGTGTGTTTGGGCCATCGCAATAAAGCTTCAGGATTTTCTGCTGAAGCTTACATTGTAATTTTATTAATGAACTGCTTGGAACTACACACACTGACTAATTACTTGTATTGATGGGTAGTTCCAGGTACACGCACAATACACTACACACACACACACACACACACACACACACACACACACACACACACACACACACACACACACACACACACACACACACACACACACACACACACACACACACACACACATATACACAGTTTATTGACTCCATACACAGTTTCAAGTGTAGATATGATAGAGCCCAATAGGCTCAGGAACCTGTACACCAGTTGATTGACAGTTGAGAGGCGGGACCAAAGAGCCAGAGCTCAACCCCCGGAAGCACAAATAGGTAAGCACACACACAAACCACACACACACACACACACACACACACACACACACACACACACACACACACACACACACACACACACACACACACACACACACACACACACACACACACACACACACACACACACACACTCTGTATACTGCCAGTGATCAATATTGTTCATACAATCAGCTACACAATCAGATCTCATTAGATGTAACCGGTAATTAGTTTAGACGCCCACATCAACATAAGCACCCCCAGGAAACCCACATCAACCCATCATATCAAGCCCCCCCCCCCCACACACCAAGGTTCCCTCATCACCTCACACGCCAAAGCCTCCTCCTCATCATCAACCCCTACACCAAGGCCCAACATCAACCCTCCCCATCTTCACTATTGTGGTTTAACTCCAATCTTATTCTCTTTATTCTTTTTCTATGTGCTTTATCTGCTTAACCAAAATATTTCATTTCATTTACTCGTCGGATAAAGAAATGTCGGAATCTCGGTTAACTGGCCCCAAAATATATATATATATATACCTAGATGTATCCCACGTCCGAGCTATGCCAAATGTCACCGGAAGCCGGATAGACTGATATAAAAAGCGTAGTTTTATCTGGCCAGTTCCTCGAGTGAAACATCCGGCCACACTCTCCTGTGTTCCTTAGCCAGAGGAGCTCAACCTCTGTAGTGGTGAGCATCTGTACCAGGGGAGAGAGAGAGAGGCAGACAGACAGATGGATACACAGAGAGACAGATACAGAGACAGAGACAGACAGAGGATATAGGAAGGTGTCACAGCCTTAATAAAGTAGTAGACCAAGTCTCGTGTTGGCAATATCCAGAGTCTATTCCTTCACAACAGTTCAGGGGCGGTGGATTACCCAAATATAAGCCCATGGAGACAGGTGGGGGGGATGGGGTGAAGTGATCAGATATACACCCATAAAGCTTATATTGACCAGTGATTGAGATGCTTCCAAAGACTTCAAATGGAAATAGGGAACGTAATTTAGCTTGCGTTGTCGTTACTGTTAAAAAACGACCAGATTGCCTGGTTTACTGTTATAAGCTTGTGCGTCCACGTTTGTAAAAGTCTTCAATATACTTCTCAGGCTAACATTCCTAAGCAGCGCATGGATGAGAGATATATTTCAGACTTAATTTAAGGAGGAATCACCTGTTGTCAAGATTTAAATGTACTTTTTATTTTATTTATGAGTGCACTTTGAGATTCACATATCCAATGTTCCTTAACAAAACTTTATTAAATGTATTTTTTGACATGCTTTACATACCTTGTACATTTCTGTAGGATTTATGTTTGGTACTGTGAGTGCTTTGGAGAAATTATTCACTCCTGAAGAGTTCCTTTTTCCACACTTGAGTGTAGAACTTGAGCTCTGGACTCACTCGGTGGTGCTTCAAGGCACAGTAAGAGATACTTACGTTGTCATTCACTCTGTCTTATGGTTGGTCTCCGGTATGTCTTGCCTGCTGTGAGAGGGGGAGACATAAGCCATAGTAGCATGATTTAACAGTTTACGGCGAATTACCATAATTGTTTGTCATTAAACGAATATGGTGTTTGTGAAATGTGAAAAAGGAATCATTCTGACAAGATTACTCTCAAATTGGCCAAATCATTTAATTTACACGATTTTTTTATAAGAATATTTTCACTTGATTACAAACAAGTGAAACTCAGTGAGAGCTTTTGTGGAATTCTCTTAAAAGTATGGTTTTATAGTGTCCTTTTTTGTGTAAAAATGAATTTATTATAAATGTATATCAATTCAGGTTTTGTAAACAAATGCAACTCAGTGAGAGCTTTTGTGGAGTTCTCTAAAATGCACATCTTTATAGTGTTTTATCTTTCAAAATGAATTTAGTATAAATGAATAATAAATTAAGATACAAACTATTTTGATCTCTTAGGGCGATGATATACGTACAATTATTCATTCTTTTCATTGGTACAAATTATGTGTTCTGTTTTGTGATGTGTAATAAAATGTGGCAGCGCTCTCTGGCGGTGGATAAATACGTGTTGGATCTGTTGAAGAATGTGTAGCTTTTGTTTGTTGCTATAAACATAAGATGTTGATCTTGTTCACCTGCGATACTCATAAGTCGTTGAGGCTAGGAAGAGGCTCCTCTCCTCATCTGGAATGAACACAAAATCAGAAAATCTTGAGAGGGGCCAGGTAGGTAGGATTGAACCCTCGTTCAGTTATGTATAGACACCTCAGGCGCTCATCCAGGGGTGACCCCACAAGGCTGCGGTTCACTTTCCCCCCCTGGAATATGTGTTACTACAATCTCATTGTGGATAAGATAGGGTGAGTGTTCCCGTACGTCCTTCTCCTCCTTCAGGTGAATCTTGCACTCACGTCGTTCAGATGATCTCTGTATTCACAGCTTCAACGACTTACATTAGAAGTATGTATATGTGTGTGTGTGTGTGTGTGTGTGTGTGTGTGTGTGTGTGTGTGTGTGTGTGTGTGGGCTAGAATACGCATGTTATGAAGGCCTAAATAGGCCAGTTGCGCCTCTATTTTGACCGTTTTTGGGGCGTCTGAGATTACGATTCACATTCCGGTTAAGGATGTAGAGAAAAGTTTCGGGTTGGAGGCGGGTCGACGTGGGAAGCGCAGAGTTTCATACGAAACTTGTAAGGGGGTTTCTAAGAACTCCTCGAATGCCGTTTCGGCTCTTGGCATGAAGCTTGCACAATGTTGCTGTTAAAACCAGTACTACCACAACATTGAATCCTTTTCTCAAGGTTATACTTATATAGGTATATATATATATATATATATATATATATATATATATATATATATATATATATATATATATATATATATATAATATATTCGTTGTATGTACATTATGTGTCGATGCGAGAATGTCAGTGTATATGTATGTGTGTGAGATGCCAAGCGTTCAAATACCTACCCAATCCGTGAGGAGTCTAACGAAACACCTGCGGAACCAATACGGTCTCGTTGGTCTAAACGAGTCCACCACTCGTTAAACTTTGGTGCCAAATTTTCTCACGTTTCTATTTTTTTTTCAACTACAAATGTACATATATATAAAATAATTCAACCCCCACGCATATGAAATGAGAGTCACGACTTGCTAGGGGTCCAGGACGACTTGCTAGGGGTCCAGGACGACTTGCTAGGGGTCCAGGACAACTTGCTAGGGGTCCAGGACGACTTGCTAGGGGTCCAGGACGACTTGCTAGGGGTCCAGGACAACTTGCTAGGGGTCCAGGACGACTTGCTAGGGCTCCAGGACGACTTGCTAGGGGTCCAGGACAACTTGCTAGGGGTCTAGGACGACTTGCTAGGGGTCCAGGACGTACAGGAGCGACACGTCACTATTCCATAAGTGTGGAGTGGGTTACTGATTTCAGCCTCGTCATTGTGACATTCTCTGCATAAATATGTCAATTTACAGTCGGTCAGACAAACAAAGGCGCAATATGTGCCAAAGGTGAGGTTGTTCTTGATTCCTCTCATGTTACACATGGGAGGGGATGGGGGAGAGGGAGGGAGGGGGAAGGTTTGAGCACTGATGTGACTCTATGATAAACCTGTTTCTGAATGGGCGTTACCACCGTCTTGCTGTGGTGTGACCAGCTGGTGGGAGATGAGTGATGCTGTGGTGTGACCAGCTGGTGGGAGATGTGTGATGCTGTGGTGTGACCAGCTGGTGGGAGATGAGTGATGCTGTGGTGTGACCAGCTGGTGGGAGATGTGTGATGCTGTGGTGTGACCAGCTGGTGGGAGATGAGTGATGCTGTGGTGTGATCAGCTGGTGGGAGATGAGTGATGCTGTGGTGTGATCAGCTGGTGGGAGATGAGTGATGCTGTGGTGTGACCAGCTGGTGGGAGATGTGTGATGCTGTGGTGTGACCAGCTGGTGGGAGATGTGTGATGCTGTGGTGTGACCAGCTGGTGGGAGATGAGTGATGCTGTGGTGTGATCAGCTGGTGGGAGGTGAGTGATGCTGTGGTGTGACCAGCTGGTGGGAGATGAGTGATGCTGTGGTGTGACCAGCTGGTGGAAGATGTGTGATGCTGTGGTGTGATCAGCTAGTGGGAGATGAGTGATGCTGAGGAAGATAAGGTTACTAGGATAACGATCATATGTCTGCCAATAATATACTCACAAGAGGGTGCCTGAAACAGGACTGTGTGATGTGCTTCAATTTCTTATTCAAATGTAATAACTACGTTTTAATTACATTTCTGTTTGTCGCTGAATGCAAAAATATATATGTAGGCAACTTGGTAGGAGGAGTGCTTGTATCTCTATATAGTACTGGAGGCGTTGGAAGCAACAAAGTTCTTACCTACTAAGTACTGTACTCCACTAGTCACACCACATACACGCATATTTGCCTAAATCTACCTGAGGGCTAGCATAGGTCTAGTGGCCTTGACCGCAACAGGAAACTGGCAGTTTAATTCTTGTACAGGTGTGTGCAGGTGCCCCTTGACACCTGTGACCTGTGTAATGGGAGAACACATATACAAAATACCACGAAATCTTTAACTAGTGTTTATTATTGGTGTTCTTTTTACATTGATATGACTTGTAAATAAGTCATATTTGTCTTGAATTTGAATCTGTATTGGTTAATTCTGTAAATGTTTTCATTAACAGTAGTGACAGTTACACACAGAACATCAAACTAACGTGATATACACCAATACAAAAATCCACTAGAACTGTGAGGTGGGCGTGAACCCGCAATCAAGCAACCCGTTCTCGCATTTGCTTATAGTCAATATTGGATTATTAATAAGTGCATATGTGACATACTAATTTATGGTGAATATTTTAG